CCATTTCTGAAGAAGGGTCTAGGCCCGAAACGTCAGCCTTCCTGCTCCTCTGACGCTGCTTGGCCTGCTGTGTTCATCCAGCTCTACACCTTGTTATCTCAGATTTTCCAGCATCTGCAGTTCCTACTATCTCTTGTTGAAAGTATATTGGCTGTTAGATTTTCCTACAAAACAATAGTGACAACACTTAAACATTATTTGACTGTGAATGTTTTAGGACAATCACATGACATGAGAAACATTTTATGGAATATAGTTTTGTGTGGGTTTTTTTTTTGAGCGACGTTATACGTTGGGATAGCCTGTGTTTGAATCACCTATGTAGGTATGGATGGTTAGCCTGAGGCAGGCTCATATAATACTTGAATTTTTGTTCCAGTTGGGAAAAGCAAATCATGCTGAATGAAACCTGCTTTTGTAGGAAACATGCATAAAGAATATAGGCAATATCTGCTCTTTAACACCTGTCACAAGTGTTCATTAATGTTTTTCCAGTGGAAGTGATGCAGCATCGATTCAGACCAGAGCAACTCTCAGTGATGACGGACAGCACTATTTGCTCAATGGCTCAAAGGTGAATCCAATGCATAAATGATCTTGACAATCCTAAACTTATGAATCTTTAAACTTATTTTTAGACTCAAGAATCAGCTACATACCGAGTTTTGAGATACTGTTCTGCTCTCTGGTTATTCTTTAGCTTAAGGTTAAAATACAGAACTATATTCTGAATCCTTCTACATTGAAAGTAATTTACAAAGTCCATTCCCATTGCTGCATAGCCCTTTGCACCGTAATGAGTAATCCATTATGTTTGTGTATTTAGATTAACATTGCACAATGTGGACTGCAGTTCCTCTATTCTGTGTATCTGACCACAGTTTTCATTGCACTAAACTTCACTAAGAATAAATGGTAAGAGCCCCCTGTTGGTCAGGTAGTTAAAAAGAATGAGTAGCTGAGCCATACAGATTAAAGTCCTTGTTTATATTTCTGGTCTGTTCAGGTTAGCTGATCTCATTAGGCTTCTGTAATTGAACTGGGGATGTGGCGGAAGAAAAATAGCTCTATGTCCTCTTAGCCATCTATTGACTTCTGACAGATTGATCTAGTAACCTGGAGTACGAACAGGGTTTTCATAATTGTAACACTAATTGGTATTTAAATTTACACTACATAAATACAGGACCCAAACAAAACTAAAAGCATAATCAGCTATCTCTGTTCTAACTGCAGTTCCTTTTAAAACAAAACGGCAAATAGAAAGCTTCTAATTACCATTTCTGTTGGTAGCAAATATGAATCTTCAGTTTGCTGATGTATGAGACAGAGTTCCTAATTTAAATGTTTGCTTTAAGTTTAAAAAGAAATTCTTCTAGAGTTAGAATTTTACATTGTGTATATGAGATGGAAAGGCAGACATCGATACATGTCCAAGAAGCAATTTTAGAAGCGAGGGGAGTTTTGGGTGCAACAAATGAGTGTTTGGAAATGAATGTGTAGGCTGGAGGAACAACTGTTATGGAAGACAGTTCTGGCTCAGTTCAAATGGTGGAATGTCTTCTAATTCACGTTGACCAATGCAACTGGAGATAGTATCAAAGGTCAGTACATAAAAGAATGTCTGATCTAAAGAGCCAGACATATCTGCTTGGATTATGTCGTCAGTTCCTGCAGAAAGGCTTAAGCAATATTTTCTGATCCAAGGCAAAAGAATTAAGCTAACAATGTAAGATGTGCTGGTAATGGAACTAGTTCTGGAAGGATGGGGGAGATGCAACAGCCATTTATCTTGTTCCTGATGGTTTTCCAATGGCTTCTGCTGCAGATCTGGATATCAAATGGTGGAATTGCAGAAATTTTCACAGTGTTTGCACGAACAGAAGTGATTGACAAAGATGGTACAACTAAGGACAAGATCACGGCTTTTTTGGTGGAGAGAGATTTTGGTGGAATTACCAGTGGGAAACCAGAAGACAAACTAGGAATCCGTGGATCTAATAGTAAGGCATTCATAATGCTGTCATGCACACTTTTAATTTTCTAGCTGTTGTATAAAGGATTTACAAATTTGCATGTTGGTTTACTGTTTCTTGTGTAAGTTTATAGTATTACTGTCTTTTGTTAAATTGTGAAGACAGTCAAAGTTTTCGCTGATAACTGCTCACTATGATTATCAAAGGAAGTTGTTTAAATAGGAATGTTATTGCAAAAACTGACTTGTTCTAACTAGGTTTTTTTCACATTTTCAAAGCTTTCCTTTTCACAAGAGTTAAATCATGGATGGTGAGAGTGAATGTTGAAATACCTTTTTTCTCCCAAGTCACACCAGATGCTCAGGGAAGTTCTAAGAGTAAAGCTGGAATCATGTTTCAGGCATGCCAGTGAAATCGAGATAAAAATAAGGTTTCTAGTTAGCAAAGATTATAGGTATTTCTCACAACTTCGCACTTTCACCAATGTATTAGAATATTTACATTAAATCACTTCTGTTTTAAAATAACCTAACAAGGTTTAACCATAATTTTCACTGAAAAAAATTATCTACAAATATTTGAATGTGCAGTTTGAACCCCTGCAGAAAATGTTGACATTATGCTGTAAGATGCTTTATCAGGCCAACTAGCAACATCTGCTGTTCAGGAAACTTATTACACATGTACCATGTTTTAACATTTTTTTTGTGTGGCAAATTGCTAAAAGTATCTTGTTATGGCAGTACAACAAGAAAACAAGTTTTTAAACTTGAATGACTAGGGCAGCCAACTAGGTATTTTCTTAAACCAGTTAGATTGAAGAATTGAGAAGTAGACAGCACAAGACTGAAAAGGAAATGAAAGTTAGAGTGGATGAATTCAATGTCATATTAAAGAATGTTATATTGTTTGGAAAGAGTGCAATCTAATACATATTGAAATAGTTAATGTTTTAACCAGGTTGAGTTAGAAGCTTGTGATGTTTACTCTGTAAAATGTTATAACTGAGTAAAGATTGGCACCAGCACTAATCTTCACCAAATGGCTTTCCAGGTAAGACCATGCCATGTCATTGCTTCTCATCCAGCTCATACACTTGAGAACAAGCATTCTAAACAAAGATTTGGAGCAGGTTTCAATTTTTTTTCTCTCTGTGGCCCTTAATTTTTGGCTAAGAAGGTGGAAAATGGATACAAACATTTGCCAACTGCATATGTTTGATTATTTCAGTAAACTTGTTTGATCATAGCATCATGAGTATGACACTTATTGAATTAAAAATTACATTCTTTACTGTGCAAAATGCTAATTGCCTTTTTGTGCCACTTTTTCAGCATGTGAAGTTCATTTTGAGAATACCAAAGTGCCAGTAGAAAATGTCCTGGGAGAAGTTGGTGGTGGATTTAAGGTACATTATGAGAATTCACTTTAGATTGCACATTCAAAATATTAATTTTAAACTGCTCTTTATTATATTAATGACAAAATAATAGTTGGACTTTTACTGTGCACAGAAGAGTTGTACATTTTAGGAATGAGCAATGTTCAATTTGGTAAATTGGAGTAAGTATTAAAATGTAATGGTCTGTTGTGGTCCTGCTCAGAAGACAAATTTAAAAGGTAGACTGCTTTATATCTGCCTGATTGCTTATTTAATTCTCATATTTGTTCTGCACTTATTTCATCTTATAATACAATAGTAACATGCATAATTTGCTTCTCAGTGCTATGTTCTTAAATGTTGATTTCTCATTCCTGGATGTGCATCTGATTTATCACTTGTCTAACCATATTATTCTTCTGTTCCACTGTAATAATTTTTTAACAAAGCCTTCTAAATAAAGTTATTAACCTATCATGTCGCTCCTGTACTCGGCTCCCAGCAATAGACAGGCAAGTAGGAGTTCAGGAAAACATCCAGAGTTGTAAGTTTGCAGTGGCTATGTGGTACTGTTTTTGTATGTTCTGTGTTGAATACACCAATAAAAAGAGAAGGAAAAACAAGACATTTAATGGATTTCACAAAAAAAAAATCTTTCAGTTGCTACTCAATAGGAGCTTCCTTGTCTTCATATTCATCCCCTGACAGCAGGGTAATTCTGGTCAACCTGTCCAATTCCATAGGTGATTATGCTGTTGTTACTGCAAATCTATTGTGTGTTATCCCAGCCTGACCATTATAGGACCGGTGCTGAAATTTAAATGCTAGCAAGCTAAGGGTGACAAATGCTCAGTAACTGTATGCCTTCCCTTTTTAATGCACATTCTGAATCAAGTTTCCAAGTTATCATCTTGCATATTATGAGCAGTGAAGGCATTAGCCGCAGCAAATGAATATGGGATAACATTGTGGGAGTGACATTCAGTTGTGTAGAAGATATTGCTCCACATTTGTAGCATAGGAGGCTGATTCCCATGAGAGGCACTTACATGTTGTCTGCATGTACCAAAGAGATTGAAAGCACAACAGTCTGACTTCACAGATATTAAAAATCAGCCAGTAAGTTTATAGGGATCACTTCCCTCATTCACTCTTAAAATCAAAAAAAAAATTAGCAACATAGATGGGCCCTAGGTAGTTTCTAATCCACCTGTTCAGAAATATTATTGCACAACCTCTGAAGCAGGTGGCACTTGAACACAAGCCTCCTGGTTCATAGGTAGAGACAGTATCACTGCACAACAGACACTTTAAAGATGGATCCCAGATATTTCTAAAGAATCTGTTCAGAGATATTCATATTAATACAGAGATATTAAAGAGGCTTGAACCTGGGTCCATTGGCTCAAAGGTAGGGATACTGCCACTATAAATAGGCCTCATCTTGCCCATTCAGCAACTTGCAACTGAAGTGCCTTTGTTTTAACGGTGCTCTGCAAAGTTGGTGGAAGCACAGAGATGAGTTGCTTAAGGAGTGTGAAAGCTTTTGCTGATGATAATTCGAGAGAATGAGATATCCTTCCGTGTGTGGGAGCAGCAGTTGTAAAGCCACTTGCTGTGTAACATGAGCAGATCATGCAGAGGAGGCAGCAGGAAGTGGAAGGGGGATCTTTCTTTGGGAGGCATCACATTGCAGCATCTTCTGGGAATGCGAGCGCTCAATTGGGATGAGGCTTTGTTTTAGTTCTGTTTCAAATCTGCCAAGCATCTTGTTATACATGTTCAACTTTGTGAGGTTATAATTTGATTTCCTTGCAGCAGAACTGATGTTAACTTCTCTCTACACGTGAGCTAACCTATCCTAGTTGCAACCCACTTGAGCCCGGTGATTATACCACAAACCAATCCCAACTCCTACATAATGCTCTAAAATAAGTGCCGTGCCAATATCTCAGTTGGTGGTTGAAGGGTTTGCTGAAGTTTTCATCTATCGTCCTCCTCTTTCACCTTGCCTTGTTTTTGAAGGAACTGAGCAGCTGGGAGTTTATAACTATCAAAACAGAAAAGGGGTGGAGAAGAGATCAGAAGTTCACAGTGACTCCAACTGCAGTTTCCTTCACTGTTCATTAATAAGAAGACCATTTCCTCCTTCACACTGAGGAGATGATATGACCTGGACCTCCACTTGTCCTCTAGCTTTCCCTCCCGTTGTTTAGTACCATCACCATCTGCAGGACAGGAGGCTGTATGTCATTAACCGAGTCTGTACGTTTGGGCAGAGTCTGCCTTTGCCAGAAGCTCTGGGGCTTTTATGTACTGCTCGCTGGTCCGCTTCAAAGGTATGCTTGGGTGAGCATGAGAATTAGGAGTAGAACATTCAATCACTCAAACTTGCTTCAGCATTTGAGAAGATCGTGGCTGACCTCAACTCCACTTTTTTGTCTGCTCCCTATAAGATGTGATCTGATATGAGGAGTGAGTCATTGACTGAATGAAGACGGATGGTGCATTGAGCACTGAGAGAAACGTAATGAGTTTACAAGATTTGATATTTAGATGCCTTCACCAATCTTGATCACTTAATTGAGGTCATTAAACTTCGTTCAACACTGCTGCCAGATCCATGGGGCTACATCCTAGGTGTTGACTGTCCTTACCACATGATCCCTCCAAGCACCACTCCTCCTCCTGACCATTCAACAACTTGCAACTTCTGATTCAGTTTGCACCTGAATCCAGGGGCCTTCCCTTGCTATAACATGGCTTTGCTATGAATAGGCAAAAACAGTAATGAACAACCTGTAATATATTGCTGTGAAGTCATTTTAGATAGGGGAGCTGACTAGAATAAATGGATGCTACATGGCTCCTGAAGTTTGCAGAGGACACTTGGGCAGAAGACTTGTGTGATTCAGTCATGCCAATAAATCAGATCCCCCTCTTATTAAATCTCCCTTTCACCTGCTCTACTTAAAATTGTTCCATGTAAATTGGGGCCTTCATCCCTGGAAAATACTTGTTTCGTTTTTCCTTCTGGCTGGAATGGTATAGTCATGGCAGATAATTAGATCTTGAAAATTCTGTAGGTTTAATATGTGGTGTTGTCAGTAATTATTGCACTGGTAAAGAGAAATGCAACTTGTGTGTATTGCAATACAATATGTTACAAGCGAGCATGCAACAGCACATAAGATGGCTACATTAAATTTACCTTTTTTGTATCTAGTTTATTCAAATAAATTGTTTCTTCATGTTAAATATTGAATAAATGACTCAAGTTAAAATAAATGAATCAATATTGTGCTTCACAAGATACAAATTTTGATATTTTTTCTCTCTTCCAGGTGGCCATGAGGATCTTGAATAGTGGACGCTTTAGCATGGGAAGTGCATCTGCAGGAATGATTAAAAAACTTATTGGTGAGATTACAAAACTGAATCTTCATAATGTACGTACCAAAATCTAAATTAGCATCAACTTGATCCACACCTGAATCCAACTGCAAACTTTTGTGTGTGATTTGTTTTTTCAATTTTAAGATTAGCATTACCACACATTGCCTATTCCTAGCTGATGGAAAGATTATTGTTGAGCTTTATTTTATTGTTCAAGGTTGTAAGCAAGAGTCCTGAACGAGGCGTCTGAGCTAGTTGTTCCACTAGTCCAACTGTTCGTACCATTAACAGGGGGCTACTTTACCATATAATAAAAATAGACATTCCTTTTAAAGTTGGATTAAACTAAAATTGCTATTGTTAGTTTGGAGGAATTGAAGATCTCATGGTGCTATTCAAGGAGGAACAAAGAATTTTACCAGTTTGCTGATCTGCATTTTCTAAAAATAAATTAACTGGTCACTCAGCTCATTGGAGTTAATGGGATCATGCTGTGCTACTCCATTAATGTACATAATCGTCATTGTAATTAATTACAAAGCACTGCTCAGAAACAGTTTCTGGGAAATGCAATTAGGCACTATACAAATTAAAGTCTTCCTTTCGTATTTTTTTCTTTTTGTAGAGATGACAGCAGAGTATGCTTGTACCCGCAAGCAATTTGACAGGAAGCTGAGTGAGTTTGGGCTGATTCAGGTACATTTTTATTTTGCTATTTTTGTAAATCATTGTTTAATATGACTAGCTGCTTAACAAATCAAAACTTTTGCAATTAAAACATTTTGTAAAAGTTGTTCTTATTCATTATTGGCTATTTTATGAAACTTTTTTTATGTAGCTGTACATTGACGCATGTTTCCTGCAGCTTCTTAGCATAAACAATAATTTGTTTTCATCTGTTCATGGGATGTGGGTCACTGGTCTTCCTGGCATTTATTGCCTATCACTAATTGCCTTTGAGAAATGTTGGAATGCTGCCGCCTTGAACTATTGAAATCCTTCAGGTCAACGTAAACAAGACTGTTAGCAAGTTGCACAGTGCTGTAGGAATGGGAGTTCCAGGATTTTAATGCAGCAACCATACACCTATGTCCTATGGATTATAGTTTCTTACTTTGTTTTGTACTATGTAAATTTACACAAACGTATAAGGTACCACAACTGATGGGACTGGAGGGTTCCCAAAGGACCTCTCTGTCAAAAAACTTCTACACACCAAATGTTGAAAGAACCAGAAATGGGGAAAACCTGTTTGATCTTCCCAAATCTATCTACCATTAATACCTCCATTCATATACAGTATTGCTGAAAGTAAGCATTGAACCATCCTTGTGAAAACCAAGACACATCTTCACACTGAGACCATCCTTCATTGTGTTATGTGGCACTCCCATTATACTAAATGAGACATATTCAGATCAAATCTTCAACTTAAAACTGAGCATCCAAGAGTAGCACTCGGCAGTGGCATCACTGAATTTCCCACTGTTACTTGTTTCTATGGACCAGCAAATTAATTGGTTGTGATTTCTGCAGGAGGTAATTCAACATCTGATTCCCAAAGCCTGAGCAATTTCTGTGATGTTATTCTCTCCTCTGTGTGGATGAGTGCATCTCCGAGAATACTAAAGCTCAAGGATAAATCCATTTGCTTGATTGTTGCCCATTCGCTGCCTTAAACGTTTAGTCAGTACCACCGACAAACACAGGTAGCAGTGTATGAGATAACAAGGTGTAGAGCTGGATGAACACAGCAGGCCAAGCAGCATCAGAGGAGCAGGAAAGCTGACGTTTCGGGTCGAGGCCTTTCTTCAGAAACGGGGGAGGGGAAGGGGATTCTGAAATTAATAGGGAGAGAGGGGGAGGCGGATAGAAGATGGATAGAGGAGAAGATAGGTGGAGAGGAGACAGACAGGTCAAGGAGGCAGGGATGGAGCCAGTAAAGGTGAGTGTAGGTGGGGAGTTAGGGAGGGGATAGGTCAGTCCAGGAGGACGGACAGGTCGAGGAGGCGGGATGAGGTTAGTGGGTAGGAGATGGGGGTGGGGCTTGAGGTGGGAGGAATGGTTAGGGAGGCGGGGACGAGCTGGGTTGGTTTTGGGATGCGTTTGGGGGAGAGGAGATTTTGAAGCTTGTGAAGTCCACATTGATACCCTTGGGCTGCAGGGTTCCCAAGCGAAATATGAGATGCTGTTCCTGCAGCTTTGAGGTGGCATCATTGTGGCAATGCAGGAGGCCCAGGATGGACATGTCGTCCAAGGAGTGGGAGGGGGAGTTGAAATGGTTCGCGACTGGGAAGTGTAGTTGTTTGTTGCGAACTGAGCGTAGGTGTTCCGCAAAGCGGTCCCCAAGCCTCCGCTTGGTTTCCCCGATGTAGAGGAGGCCACAATGGGAACAGCGGATACAGTATACCATATTAGCAGATGTGCAGGTGAACATCTGTTTGATGTGGAAGGTCTTCTTAGGGCCTGGGATGGGGGTGAGGGGGGAGGTGTAGGGGCAGGTGTAGCACTTCCTGCTGTTGCAGGGAAAAGTGCCGGGGGTGGTGGGGCTGGAGGGGAGTGTGGAGCGGACAAGGGAGTCACGGAGAAAGTGGTCCCTCTGGAAAGCAGATAAGGGTGGGGAGGGAAAAATGTCTTTGGTAGTGGGGTCAGATTGCAGATGGCGGAAGTGTCGAAGGATGATGCGTTGGATTCAGAGGTTGGTGGGGTGGTCCGTGAGGACGAGGGGGATTCTGTCTTGGTTGTTATTGCGGGAGGGGGTGTGAGGGATGAGCGGAAATTGCGGGAGACACTGTCGAGGGCGTTCTCGACCACTGTGGAGGGGAATTTGCGGTCCTTGAAAAACAAGGACATCTGGGATGTCTGGGAGTCGAATGCCTCATCTTGGGAGCAGATGCGGCGGAGGCGAAGGAATTGGGAATAGGGGATGGCCTTTTTGCAGGAAGGTGGGTGACACCAGGTGTATTCTAGGTAGCTGTGGGAGTCGGTAGGCTTGAAATGGATATCGGTTTCCAGGTGGATGCCAGAGATGGAGACAGAGAGGTCCAGGAAGGAGAGAGAGGTATCAGAGATGGTCCAGGTGAACTTAAGGTTGGGATGGAAGGTGCTTGTGAAGTGCATGAACTGTTTGAGCTCCTCGTGGGAGCATGAGGCGGCACCGATACAGTCATCGACGTAACAGAGGAAGAGTGGGGGATAGGGCCAGTGTAGCTTTGGAGGAGGGATTGTTCCACTTAGCCTACAAAGAGGCAGCATAGCTTGAGCCCATGCAGGTACCCATGGCCACCCCCTTTGTAGGAAGTGGGAGGAATTGAAAGAGAAGTTGTTGAGGGTGAGGACGAGTTCGGCTAAGCGAATGAGGGTTCAGTGGAGTGGGACTGGTCGGGACTGCGGGACAGGAAGAAGCGGAGGGCCTTTAGGCCATCTGTATGGGGAATGCAGGTGTATAGGGACTGGACGTCCATGGTAAAGATGAGGTGTTGGGGACCAGGGAATTGGAAGTTTTGGAGGAGGTGGAGGGCGTGGGTGGTATCACGGATGTAGGTGGGGAGTTCCTGGACCAAGGGGGAGAAAATGGAGTCGAGATAGGTGGAGATAAGTTTGGTGGGGCAGGAGCAGGCGGAGACAATGGGTCGACCAGGGCAGTCAGGTTTGTGGATTTTGGGAAGGAGATAGAAGCGGGCGGTGCGGGGTTGGGGAACAATGAGGTTGGAGGCTGTGGGTTGGAGGTCACCTGAATTGATGAGGCTGTGGATGGATGGGAGATGACGGTTTGGTGGTCGGGGGTGGGATCATGATCAAGGGGGCAATAGAAGGAGGTGTCAGAGAGCTGGCGTCTGGCCTCGGCGATGTCAGAGGTCAGAGCGCCATACTACAACTGTGCCTCCCTTGTCCGCGGGTTTTGTGGTGAGGTTGGGATTGGAGCAGAGGGCTGCACATTCTGTGGGGGAGAGGTTGGAGTGGGTGAGGGGGTGGAGAGGTTGAGGCGATCGATGTCTCGATGGCAGTTAGAGATGAAGAGGTCGAGGGAGGATAGGAGGCCTTGGGATGGTGTCCAGGAGGAGGGGGTGTGTTGGAGGCGGGAGAAGGGGTCAGTAGAGAGAGGGTTAGGCTCACAGTTAAAGAAGTAAGCGCGGAGGCGGAAGCAGCGGAAAAACTGTTCAATGTCCAAACATGAGTTGTATTTGTCGATGTTTGGGTGGAGGGGGACAAAGGTGAGTCCTTTACTGAGGACTGACCGTTCGTCCTCAGTAAGGGGTAGGTCTGGGGGGATGGTGAAGACCCAGCAGGGCTGGGTGCTACAGTCTCCTCTGGAGCTGCTGGCTGTGGAGGTGGTGGGTATGAGTGTAGCAGTGTATGCCATCTGTAACATACCATTGTAGCAAGTTGCCACAAGTCCTTCAACACCTTTCAGCCCTGCAACCTCTACCTCAGAGAAGGCCAAAGACTGCATTCACATTGGCACATCACCATCTGCAGGTTTCCTTTCAAGTCTATCACAATCCTGACTTGGAACTGTATCACCATGCTTTTATTGTCGCTGGGTCAAAATCGTGAAAGTTCCAGGTACCTTTGCAGAGAAAGTCAGATTAACTGCAGTAAAATACAAGTTGAAAACACCATTTGACTTATCAAAGGTCTCGTGGGCAATATATATTTTAATGTATCTAGAATGGGCCAAAAGCTTACTCCCTAATTGTCATTTGATCCTTCCTTGATTCTCCCATTTGCCCAGCTCTTACCCACTTAAAGTGAAATCATCAGACTCTGCATTTTAATTGGACCCCAACTCATCCTTCTGTTTAAATTTTGAGAGAAAGAAAAAGAAAGATCTTGCATTCTTCAGTACCTCCTACATCCCAGGACCTCAAACTATTTCCCAACTCAAAATTAATTACTTTACATGGTTTGTGTCGGCACCAGAGACCTGTAGTCAATGGGTGTTGTAAGATGATTTATTTCTCATAAATACATTTTGAATTTGAATCATTCTACAATATGCAGCAAAACTTGGAACTCTTTCAACCATCTTGGGATTGAGATACTTGATTACAATACCTTTAATAATTAATAATATAAACTTGAAACAAACAATAGCAAACTGCTGGAGAAACTCAGCAGGGCTGGCAACAACTGTGAAGAGGAAACAGCATTAATGTTTTGAGTTCAGTGACACTTTTTCAGAACTTTGTCAGAAAAGTGATTGCAACTTGTGCTTTTTTCAGCAATTCTCAAATACCTGTAGTTCTTGAGTCAATTGTTTGAATTTTTGAGCTAATTTTCGACTCCATGATTTAAGCTGATTCATAATGTTTTGCTATTTTGATCAGTAAGATGATGTGTTTTGGTTGTCCACAGATGATATAAGTTAGTTTACAAGACAGTTTTCATGTATCGTACAGTTGGGGTTTCTTTTAGGAAAAGTTTACGCTGATGGCGATGCAAGCATATGTAATGGAGAGCATGGCTTACTTGACTGCAGGAATGATGGACCGTCCAGGAGAGCCAGATTGTTCTGTAGAAGCAGCCATGGTGAAGGTAGTGAACTAAAATTTGACATTACTTTTATGAAACATCTTTAGATTATGTTCCATTTGTGATTCGTGGCATTTGAGCAGGAAGAGGAACAAGTTATATAAAAAGTGTTATTTTATTTCAGGGCTAATTTAGATGTGCAAACCTTTGTATTTAATTTTACCATGTCAATAACCAGAAATAATGTGGAGACCTGTAAAATGTCAACTGCATGTAAGGTCAAGATACGAACTGTATTACTGGATTGAACAACTGTGGATGTGATTAAAAAGATCCTTGCCAGGCCCCAAGCAAAGTCTGGGATTTAGGAAAAACATTGCCTACCATTTTCCAGTCAGCGGCCAGTCACAGAACATGACATTTTCTAGCTTGTAAAAACAAAATATTGTATTGTGGTGTTGCTGTTTTGTAATACATTTATTACAAGCAGATAATTGAGTATGTATGCAGTGTGATGTAGCATTGCTTCCTGTATGTGCTATATTGAATGAGTGTCCTGCCATTAGTTTTGAATTGAACAAATTCCACAAAGGGCTATCGTAGTAATTTTGTTACTTTTTATTATAATTACAATTTCTTCTAAATGTCATCAAACTGCAATAACTTTAAAAAACTTCAAAATTTCTTGCTGCTCTGTGTAACTAGTATTGTAGTCATGTACACAGTGTGTCTTAATTTGGATGATTCCTAACTGAGTCAGTACTTTGGTCAGATTTACAGTTCTGAGGGTGCCTGGATATGCATCAGTGAGGCTCTGCAGATTCTGGGAGGCCTTGGCTATATGAAAGATTATCCATATGAGCGATTTCTCAGGGATAGCCGAATTCTTCTGATTTTTGAGGTAAGCTAAATGTTCATCAGATTGGATGCAATGCTTAGTAATTGACACTTGACCATGGTTGCAAAATGAAGATTGTGTACATTTTTATTAAAGAACCTTTTCATCAGATATAGGGTAAAAGTTGTAACATTAATGGATGTTACCAACAGATGCATTGAATTGAGTGGCTGCTTAGATTTTTAAATTTGATTGGGTAAGGAGGTCTTTAAACATGCATTTCAGATATTAACATCAATTAACTTTGTTTGCTTTATCACTGTCTGTAGCAGATATATTTACAGTTTCAAAGATGTATCACCAACAAGTCTTCAGACAAATCTGCTAAAGAATTTTCAAGTCAGTGTTGTGACTGTGAAGAACTTCAATTTTGCCTTTTTAAAATATAAGACAAACATTTCTCTCATCTCAAAGATCAAGCACTTTTTTTCCAAAAAGAACTGGCAGCTAAAATCGCTACAATTCATAAATAAATATCTACTGTTGAGAAATATAGTGCCCTCCATTAATTCATTGAACATGCTTATAATGCATGGTAGAAACGCGGGTGCTGTAAAACTGTACAGATTTGTCCTATAATGAAATGCTTCTGGTATAAATGCAACAAACTGCCCTCATCTCTTTTAAAACAGAGATTTCTTATTCTTAAACAGTGTCCCCCACAAGAGAAACCATCCTTGTGGTATCCGCCAAATCCAGTCCCCACAGGATCTGATGTGTTTCAACTAGACCGCCTCTCATTCTTCTAAACTCCAATAGATACAGGCCTAACCTGTGGATCTGATGTGCTTCAATTAGACCGCCCTAAGATAAGCCCTACATCCCAGGAATGTACATATTACTTCATACGTGGTCTCACTAAGCCTGGTACAGCTCCATTAAAACTTCCCTACTCTTGTATTCCATATGCCATTCACCCTTGTAATAGACAACATTCCATTCATCTTCCAAATAACTGGCTTTACCTCCATACTAACTTTGTGATTGATGCACCAGACTCCTCTGCAGTCTCTCTATTTACATTATATACTGCTTTTTATTCTTCCTGTCAAAATGGGCAAGTATGTATTTACCCACAATATACTCCCATATGTCAACTTTTTGCCCATTCCCGTAATCTGTGTATCTATTTTCAGATTCTCTTATCTCCTCTTGGCAACTTAGGTACCTACCTATCCTGATGTAATCAGCAGCAATACTTACCATAAATTTGTTCCCCTCATCCAAATCATTGATATAAATTGTAAGTAGTTGACAACTCAGTACTGATTCCTGTGGCGCTCCCCTGGTTACAGCTTACCAACCCAAAATTGCCTCATGTATTCCTTGTCTCTGCCTCCTGTTGACTAATCAATCTTTTATTCATGCAATTCTGTAACCTCTGAAGAGGTTATGACTTAAGAGTCATCCTGGACTGTTTTCTGTTTCATGATAGCATTTGCAGTCCCAGTCACTAGAACTGTCTTTCACAGCAGCAGAGAGAGAAGCTGTTCAGCATCACAGTGATACAGTGACAGCTCTGATGGAGGTTATGAGATGCATTATTGTGACTATGCACACACCGACTGCTGATGTCACGGCTGTTTTTGGCGGTGTTCAAAAAGACAGGCGGAGTCTTGCAATTGTTCAGAAATCTGTAACTCCAACAGAGTATTGGGACTTAATTGGACTGAAGGGTCTGTTTCCCTGCTGTACAGCTCTGTGACTCTGTGATGAGATGTCACTCTGTGCGAGTGACACACTTGCTCTCTCTCTATTGGGATGATAGTGTTCATGTTTTCTCTATGACTGTTCTGCCAGTGCCCTTGCTGTTGGCTCCTGGATATCCGGTCCAGACTGCTGCCACTCATGCCAAAATAAACCTGGGGTTACTTGAGGAATTCTATAAGTTCACTTGCACTTTTTTCCCATTGAGTGTCAGTAGTCTTCTGCCAGCCATCTGAGTAGGATGTGGTAAAGCACCTGTGAAGTGAGCACGAAGGACATGCACAAGGCTGATTTAATTCATTTCTGCTTAGACAGGTCTGTTTTTTGATGAAGCTGTCATGGCACATTTATTGCAGCTTTTATTGCAGGATCTTAACTGAAGTGATGCTATGATAAAGGATTCCATCAAGATGGGGCATAATGGAGCCATGTTGGTGAAGGGGCAGTCACCTTATAGAAACAGAGTCTGAGCAGATGCTCTTAGAGATCCTGACTGGAGAACAAGAGTTCTATCTGTGTATTTAATCTCACTTCAACTTTTTATTTTATTCTTTTTCTTTCTCCTTTTCCTCCCGTTTTGTCACACAAGATGATCTGTGGAAAACTAGGGGTACTCTGCATTCTCGTGATGTTGAGCTTGTGGAACACGCAGCAAACATTAATTTGGAGACTTGTTCAGTTGACAATTGTACCAAACTGATGGCTACTGGGACATATTCACTGTCATCCCATCCTGCTTGGGATGAATTGGTCATATGAAATGACTGCCCTTTGCACCCCGTGGCAGCACCAGCCTGACCCTGATGCAAGGCTGGAGGATCTTTTAAAGAAAGTGGTATGGTTCCATGACCCCTCCTCGTTGAATTTGATTCATCACCTGATTGCTTCTAATAAGGTAGAAATACAGGAAGTGATGAGTAAGATCTTCTGTGCTGCCTCCTCCTGACTTTCTTTGCAGAATCTCTTTCTGTCACCTCCACTTCATTTATAGGTCATGTTGTAAAGCCAGAAATACTGCAGCTACATCCCTTGCAATCAAAACCTCTTCCCTCCCTGAATGGAAACATTAAATCACCAAAGACATCAAAAAAATAAACCACAGTGTGTACTTCAATAGTAGAAAGTTTTTCCGCTTGCAAGACAGATGGCTGACTCATTAAATAGCACTTGCATGGTGTCTGTAGTGTATGTTTTCAGCTGAGAGTGATCACTACGTGCATACACTGAATGCATGGCCCTAGTTATCAATATGAGCATCAAATCAGCTGGAATGACATCTTGACAGCAAGATCTGACCACTCCTAACATCTCAGCATACACATGGCAGTCTCTGCTAGTGCCCTTCCCAACTTAGGGTGCTGTAAGGAGCTTGCTGGAAGTGGCTAGTGGCATATGCCGTTCAATGTCTTTGTGTTTTGTCGATGAGTGGAGGTTAATATTTCAAATGCACATTACAAAATCTCAATTTCAATAAATATCTTGTTGATGAAAATATAAATCTCTGAAATGGCATAATATGCATGTTGAACATTTACAGAAATTAATATAAGCATCACTCAATGAGAGCAATAGCATGGCTAAAGTGTTGGTAGCAGTATCAAATTGCAGAATGTCCACCCATCTGGGAATGGAGCGTGAATAGACAAAATATCAAGTATAAATAAGTGTACAATTAAAATTTTTAATTGTTACTCTACTAGTTGAAGTATAAAACGTATCTTGTAAGAGTTTTTTTAAACATTTTATGGGATTGATTCTACAATGCTTGGCTGTATTGATTTCATTTTTTCCCATGTATTGCAGGGGACTAATGAAATTCTCCGGATGTACGTAGCCTTGACTGGTTTGCAGCATGCAGGAAAGGTCCTTACCGAGAAAATAAAGTATGTGGACCTTAAGAATTTTTCACTTTGTCTTAAAGATCCTCCTTTTTAAACAACATCCCAAAAATAATCTATACTTCTCCAGATGCTGAGAGTTGGCAGTTCAGAATTTGTTGCACCCACCACACATTGACACAACCATGAATGATGTTACGTCGACCTTTGACTCTAGTTTACTGAACTTTGATCCTAGTGTTATTATTCTTTATTATACGAATTTTAAACTTGTGTTTATTAGCTTTACCAATATTCTGTGATAAAAGGAAATTGAAACTGATTCAAAGTGTGTTTTAACTTATAATTGATGAACATTTAAAACTGGTACAAATCATGAAATAAAGTGAAACTTGCTGGATAAGGGCCAGCTTGAGATATAATAAAACACAGGTTGAATTTTGAACCTGACAGAAGCTAAAACTGGAACTTTGTGGTATTAAGTTACAAAATATGATAATGTAACAAAGATTAAAATTTTTGTGAAAGAGTTGAATAGCATTGGTGCAATTCTTGGATGACAATTCTGTTCAGAATTCAGGAAATCTATATCAAATCAAAATGTAAGGTTGGTAAAGTAAGGATTGAGGGTAAACAGGCTACATACTTGAAGTTTTCATTGTATAATTCAGGTGTTACTTTGACACATTCACAGATTGAGGAAATTCAGTATTTCCAATGTCTTGAATATGTTGAAGTTGTACACTCTGTCACAGAAGAGTGGGACGAAGGAAGCTGCTGCCTACAAAGAAGAGTGTGTTCTTTCATATCTTTTTTTTGAGAAGTGTGAAAATTTTCTTTCCCTTAGATTTTTCGGACCCATTGTAGAAACTCTAGAGTTTAAGTACCTATCCTCACTGATATCCAGTTGCATTATTATTGATCAAAGCAAAAGACCATAAATGAAAATGTTGAGCATTTAATGTGGTTAACTGCTTTATCATATTTCAAAGTTACATAATAGTACCATAGACTGTATGCTTAAAACAAGAAGCAAACCACAGACTTAAAATTTAATAAGGTCATGCATGTTTCTCTTTCCTATAGATTAATTCCCTGAACTGTTCAATTAATAACTTTAGATTCCAGTAATTGTTCCATCATATTTGAAGTTTTAATGAAGTTGTTTCTTTTGGGATAAAATTAACAATGTGCACTTTGGCTTCTATTCGGAAGGCTGAGAATGATGCCTTGCTACAGAATTGAAAAGCATACCTACCTCCGATCTTTGATGCACAAGGACATGAATTATGAGCAGCTCAAGCATGCTGTGTCAATTGATAAGATCACAGCTGTTCTGATTGTGACCTCAACTTCCCTTTCCTGTCTGTCCCCCCCTTAACTCTTGAGTGCTGATCTATCTAACTCGGCCTTCAGTGACCCAGCCGCTCAATGCTGCCTGCGAAATAGAAGTGTACAAACGAAGCAACCCTCTTAGAGAAAACATTATCTTCCCCTTACTGTTAAAGGGAGATCCCTAATGTTCAAACTCTGTACCCTGGTTCCAGACTCACTCACCACCACCACCCTCAAGGGGAAATTAGTTCTCCCAGCAAACATCATCCTCAACCAGCACCACTGGACAAAATTGATCTGTTGGTTGCCCATCCCATTCCAGTTTGTAGACACCCAGCTTGCAAGATCTTTGTGCACTCTCTCTGTTACATGCATAATAGTATAACTTTAAATTTATTGGCACTGAAGTTTGATTTATTTCTGTTTAACGTTTTGTCACGGTTTTTGTACTTCCTTTCAGAGCGATGAAGAGAGGAAACATTGGAGTTGTGTTGGAGCTTTTAGGAAAAAGATTAGGAAGTACTTTTTTCAAAGAAGTGGATTATGGTCTCACTGGCAAAAATGGTGTTGTGCATCCTAGTTTGAAGGTACTTATCCCTATAAAATTACCATTGCTGATCTCTATGTAAAACAGATAAATTACTTTCCAAAATTTTCCATTTGTCATCTCAGTAATTAATGGGACCAGATATTCAGCAGTCGCTTTGCATCTTGAGAGAAGCATGCAGATCTCCGTCAAAGATTTTCATGTGAGCACCCAGATAAACCAGCTGATGATAAATGAACTGTATTTTGAACTTAAACTTGAACTTCAACGTAGTTTCACAGAATGGTTGCAACACAGGAGGAGATGATTTGACCCCTTGTGCCTATGCTGGGCTGCTTAAAAAACAGTTCAGCTACTCTCACTCCTCGAACCTTTTTCCATTGCCCTGCAATTGTTTTTTCTCTTGGCTTTCCCTTTTGAAAGCCATGACTGAATCTGCCTCCACCAAATCTTGGATACATTCTAAATCCTAACTTTCAGGCTCATATACTAACCACAGCTCACATGCTTGCATCATTTCCTTAGGTGCAGCAGACATCCTAATATTCCAGCATTGTATTCATCACAGGTAGTATTAAGGCAGAGTGCCTGGTGACCCAATTGTGTCAGCCAGTGTGTGAGAGGCAGGACCGTGCTGGCAATCTCCCTACCACTTCCACTATGCTAATAGTAAATTTTCATCATGCAGTTGGCTAAAATGTAAGATACTATATTTTAGAAGTTCCATGCGATGCCCTGGCTATTGCTAATGTGCACCTAAACATTTTTGATTTGGATAAATAGAAACACAATGGTGATTTTTGGGGGAGAATTGTTTTGCCTCCTGTATGTCATGTGATCAGATTGTGGAGAACTGGTCTGCAATATTATTACATGATAATATATGATATTATAAATCACTTTTCGGAGATTTTCCTGTTTTACGTATATGGAAGTTTCTTTTGTGAAGGTTGATTTGAAGTCTTCCTTACATGCCGATTGGTTTCTACATACGGTGGGCATCCAGCTGACTCAAAGAAAGTAACCAATATTTGGAACAGAGTAGCACCTATTCTAGAAATAAGATGCATTATATTGTAGAATTTGAATTATCTGATTTTATTTTTCCACATGGTTACATTCTGCTAAGATCACTTTTCACTAACTTGATTAGACTTTTTAATGAAGCAACACGTAGTAGATAGAAACAATGCAACAAAGCGTGTGCACGTATTTGATAAAATATCACATATTAAACTTGTTACAAAACTGAAGACCATCAGACAGAAAAAAGATAGCAGTATGGTAGCTTGGATACAAAACTCATCAAGGTATAGAAAATAGAATATTTTCCACAGGCCTTGACATCTTTCCTAAAATGTCATGCTGGAAATTCACCACGCTATTTGGTTGAGACCTAATCAGTGTTTTCTAAAAGTTTGGCATGTCACCCTTTTTGTGATTAAGGGAGATAGAGACAGTAAAGTTGTGAACATAAATTCAAGTATTTCCTTTAATATTTGTCCTACAGGACAGTGCCAAAAAATTGGAGGAGAATGTGTATTATTTGGGAAGCACGGTGGAAAACCTATTGTACAGATACGGCAAGGTAATTAGGACATTTGAACTTATTCTGAACAATGTACTTGTGGCAGGAAACTATTTAAGAGCAAAGCTATGTTTATGTGGGACACCATCAAGTGAAACATTTATTATGATATTAAATGATACAAAACCCAATTCGTTGAATAAGTGCAGCATTTTTATGTTGGGATAGGTACTTTAAGAAAAAATGTTTACAACTTGGTTTTGGCATGAAAGATTTGTTATTTAGAACCACAATCTATATTTACTTATTTGATTATAAATACAAGTGTAGGAATTTACAATTGAGAGTGTTGATTTTTGAAAAGTGATAGCAGTTTAAAAAAAATGTTAAAATTGTACAGGCAGGAAGAGTACACATAAATAGATGCTTGCATGCGAAATATTTATATTTCGTAAAGTACTTTTAGTTGCTTTGGGAAAAGTCAGAAAGCACTTTTTTTAAGCAAAAGAGAACATGCCTTTATGAAGAATAGATATCTTTATAGAGAATATGCCTCTTAAAAATGAAGTTTGAATGATGTGATAGATGGCCCTTGTCCTCCTTATCTACTTTACCATGTGTCATTATTATTTTGAGGTATATTTTGGTTTACAGTATGCCCAGTTTGATTGTTTAGTGCTCAAAGTTCACTACAGCAATTATATAGTCCATTTCAATTCTGTGGAATACTGGACTTCAGGTTTTGTTCATTTAGGTCTTGATTAAGAGAATAATTCCTGCAAAGAAAACTGCAAGTGTAGAGAAAATAGGCGTGAATGGGAAACTGACCAGTTCAGGGCAGACTACTTATAAGGAGCAAATGGCATGAAGAGAAATCAGTAAGAGAGCCACAACCAGAAAAAGAATGAGCAGGCATTAGACTCTGATGGAAATAAATCAGGAATTTGTGACAAAGGCCAGCATGTTAAACTACCTGTGTAGTATAAAGTGTTATAAAATGTGTATAAACCAACAGACTGTCTTAACAAGTATTGCATCCTGAAAAAAACGTACTGGTGACAGTCTTTACAATCTGTAATAATCTTGATCTAGGTGTTGGGGGAGCTGTCTGGACACTTATGAATGATGAAGATTTGTACTCGTATTAAAAAACCGTGAATGAGAAGGAGAAAGGCACATTGCACCTGGATGTATCCTGTCATAACAACAGGACAAAGCTATCAGAGGTAGCGCCACATTAATAGGAAGGAGTAACCCTGGAGTCCTCAACATTGACTCAGGATCCTATGAAGTCTCATGCCATCAGATTAGACTGTTCAAGGAAATGTCATTCCCACCTACCAGCCCTCCTGGTCGATGAACTTTTACTACCTCAAGTTGAACACGATTTGAAAACAACAGTGTGGCAAGGGCACAGAATTTATTCTGGTTAGGCTGTGTCAATGGCCATCACTGCGAGTGGCTTGGTTACTCCGCTGTTGACCAAGCTAGTTGAGTCCTGAAGGGCATAGCTGCTACACAGGGTCTGTGGCAGACGGTGAGGTAACAATCACAGGAAGTGCATTCATGACCCCATCTATAGAATAGAATCCCTATGGTCTGGAAGCAGGCCATTTTGGCCCCTCAAGTCCACACTGACCCTCTGAAGAGTATCCCACCCAGAATCATCCCCTACATTATCCCTGGACACTATGGGCAATTTAGCACGGCTAATCCACTTGTACATGTTTGAACATGCTTATCAATCTACTTGACACGGATGCTTCTGTCCATCCAAGTATTAGCAGGAGGGATCATCACACAGTCCTTGTGGAGACAAAGTCTCATCTTCAGATTGAGGATGCCCTCCAGCATGTATGTTGTATGACAGTATCAGCATGCTACATAGGATAGATTTCAAAAGGATCAAAACTCAAAAGTGGGCATCCATGAGGAACTGTGGGCCATCATAAGCAGAATTGCATTCAATCATAAATCGTAACTTCATAGCCTAGCATTTCCCACTTTCATTACCAGCAAGGCAGGGAAACAACTCTTGTTCACTGAAGAATGCAGGAAGGCTTACCTAAAACTGATGTCAGCCTGCTGAAGCTAAAACACAGGATACGAATTAGGAGCAGGGGTAGACTGTTGAGCCCTTCAAACCTGCACCGCCATTCAATAAGATCGTGGCTGATCTGATTGTAACATTGAATCTGCATTCTGCCTACCCTGATATTCTTTCAGCCATTTGCTTAACAAAAATCTATCTACCTTTGCCTTACCAATATTCAGCGACTCTGCTCCCATCACCTTTTCTGGAAGAGTGTTCCAAAGATTGTATTGTCTCCACAGATGCTGCCAGATCTTGTGTTTCTCCAGCAATTTTTTTTTTCTTTGTGGAAGAATCATAGGTGTTACAGTGTATAGTTGCAAGAGGTTTACCATAAGTCAGCAAAGCAATTGCAGAAGCAAACAAAATAATAGGATGCATAGCTAGGATCCAATCAATATAATACAAAAACAGTATAGTTTTCCTATGCATTATTTTGCTTTGATTTTATCTGGAATACTGTCTCTTGTTATGGTCTCCTCACGTGGCATGAGAAGTGGTTAGGGGGTAAGGTACAAGGTTGGATCTAGTTTAAAAAGTGCTTCTTTATCACAGTAATTTGGAGAACTTTGGTCATTTCTGTTAGTTGAGTGTTGGCTTTAGGAAACTTTGTTTGTGGTTAAGCTAATAAAATAATTTGATTCTATGCACGTGTATGAATGATCTGATTTGAATAGTTAGAGAGGATATGTTGCATTATTATAAAGAGTAACTAATTATGAAAAACAAGATGTCTGTTTACTTTTCATGGAGTACTTTTTCATATTTAACTAAACAGCGTTAAAGACTGAAACAAGCAAACCTTTGCTACATTTCTGTTGAGGTTTCTCATAAAAATATTGTGCCTCTTCCTCTTCAGACAATAGTAGAAGAACAACTGGTAGTGAAAAGAGTGGCTGATATTCTTATAAACATTTATGCGATGACGGCAGTTATCTCAAGAGCTAGTCGCTCTATCAGCATTGGCCTTTGCAATCATGACCATGAGGTAGGTCCATACTATCTTTGCAATGAAAGTCAGTCCTTTTAAATCACAGAGACTATTTGGATTATATTCAATTCCTGAAATTCTGACACCAAAACCTTATTTTCATTAAATAAATTAAATATTTAAAATTACAATATAAACTAATTGTGTGAAATTTTACTTTTAGCAAGACAGTCTTCAAGACTAAGAAGAAAATAAGTTCTGAAAAATCGGGCAAAAAATAAATCTTTTCTGTGTTTCAACAGTTACTGAATGAATCCAGATTAAATCTCTTGGGAGAAGAAAATCCCTTGTCAATAAAGTTCACATTAAGCCACCAGCCATATCTAACTATTACAGATGGTCTATTGCTAAAACTGAACTAGTTTTCTCATTGTTCTGATTCGAAATATTTTTAATTATAACCAGGTTATGATCTGCCAGAGATGAAATGGGTTGTGAAATCAATTTTAAAATTGTGAAGGAATAAGTAATTAAATCACAGGGAAGAAGGACAGAGAGGAAAATTAAAACCCTGTGAATATATTGGGCCTAAAAAACTTAGCTTTTTCCCTTGTAATTGTTAAGTGTTTTCCCTTTTGAATAGAACAAAATCCCCACAGTGTGGAAATATGCCCTTCAGCCCAACAAGTCCACACCAACCCTCCGAGGAGCATCCCACCCAGACCCATCCCCCTATCCCTTTTCCCTGTAACCCACCTAATCTGCACATCCCTGAACACTATTGCCAATTTAACATGGCCAGGTCCACCTAATCTGCACATTTTTGGACCGTAGGAGGAAACCGGAGCACCCAGCAGAAACCCACGCAGACACCGGGAGAATGTGCAAACTCCACATAGACAGTTACCTGAGGCGGAAATCGAACCCCGGTCCTTGGTGCTGTGAGGCAACAGTGCTAACCACTGAGCCACTGTGCTGCAATTTCTCTTCCATTCTTAATTTGCTTGCAATGACAATTACTGTCTGCTCAAAAGTAACCTGGTCTTAAATTCTTCTCTGTATAGATTGTCTCTAGGAAGTGAACAGTAGGCTAGCCTGGAATAAATTATTCAATATTTTGTTTTGTTAATTTACATACAGCAATTATTGGCTTCTGCTGAATGTGTCCCCCAACTGGGCTGGCAAGAAATTTCAATTCAGTATGGCACTCAGGTGAGGCAGGGGTAGAATTCCTGATGTAAAACAAATTTTGAAGAGTTTATAGATCAGTGTGAACACCCCTCCCTCACATTCCAACACAACTGTATTATTGTAGCCCAAGAAATTATTAGCTTGATTTAACAATGATTATATTCCATATATTTCATTTATTTCCTGCAATTGCCTATGTGGCACATGAAATATGAATTAAAATATTCTACATTTTTGAAGCAACATTACATCTTTCTACTCTTTGTACGGTTCTTCCTAAATCATTACTGTCTATTATCAGTTCTTCCTTTATGAAATTCACCGCAATTATGCATTTTCCTACTGATACTACTTTTTATTTTTGATTCACTACATCACCTTCTCTGCAATTGACTGATGATTGAGTTTTCGTGCTGATTTGTAAGAAATGGACCAATCCCAAGATACCACTGCATTGGTAGTTGTTCAGTGGGCTTCTCTTTCAAATTCAACTGCTAAACAGAATGTGGACTGGTGTGTGTGTGTGAGACTATGTGTTTAAGTAATGGTGCTATATTGTTGGACTAAGAAGTCTTAATCGGTGAAGTCTGTGCCTTCAGGATACATTACAGACAAATTATAGTATGCAATTCATAATTATATAGTCATTTGGTAATTAAGTATTGCTGAAGAAAAGATATTTTGTTGAAACTATTTATCTTGCATTCATAAAGACAATTCAGAGTAAGTACCAAAGTAAAGCAAAAAATATATATTGTACAAAAAGAGGGTGCTGTTTGATTAGCAAGTGGACTCTGATAGGGACATTGACGTGGACATGAAATTATTCATGATACGCAGCATGAAATTATTTAATCAGGGCAACAGTCATTCTGCAGAATGGCTTTGATGAAGGCTATTTCAACATCAAGTTTACACAATGAACAAAAACCTGTTTACAAGTTTGTCAAGAAGGCCCATCTTGTATCATGTGGTACTGTAGGGATTCAAACTGTACATCTTGACCAATGAAAGTTGTTTAGTGGTAGACAGTAGTAGAGTAACCACCCCAGGTGATTCCTCAACTAGAACATTACGGGAGCAGCGTATCCCTTTGACTATTCACAATGAGCAAGATACTGACTACAAGACTAAAACTTTAGCAAAGTTTCATTTTCTTTTTAATACTCCAACTAAGTGAGCTGATAATGACTTTTTTTGTTAAGCCTACAACGTTCTTCTGTTTTTTTTTTAACTGCCATTTTACTTCAGTTAATTTTAAATGCCTGGTTGATTTTCTGTTGATTAAATGATGAGTATTTTATCCATAGTTTATTCTAGTCCTCCTCATACAGCAGATAACTAAAGGAATCAATGGCGTGTCATACTCGGTTCCCTTCTTACATTTGAATAGTTGTGCATGTTAGAATTTGTTATACTTCCAAATAATTAATCTATTCAAATGATTACAAACTGTACTGGTGTCCAATCAGATTCACGAAAGAAATGACTGCCTATGCTAATTTCTAAAATTAAATGTTTTAAAGAATTGTTTTTATTTAATAACCCGGTATGATTTTTAAACACACGTTCCAAAATAAAACAGATTTTAACTTTCAGGAGATTGATCATAGATGTAAGATTGCAAAGAATCAGCTAAAGCAAAAACTGCATTCATCACGGGTGTACTTACCAGCCATAAACATAGTTTCTGTCACAATGCTGGTTCAAATGGAAGTTACTATCTAGTCCATGTTTTGGATTTCTTTTGAAAAACTATGCAAATATTTTCAATAACAAATTTAAACTCTTGTTTGTTTGATATTTAGTTTGCAGTGGCTGCATGAGTTAAATTCAGTATCTCTGTTGAATTGTGTGCTTCCTTCATTTTTAAAAGCATGCTTTAATGCTTTCCACAGGAGTAATAGAGAGACAGACAGACAGCATCTGCTTCCTTTTTGGTTTGACATTATTTCCTTAAGGCTTTTCCAGATGTTCTCTGTCTCACCAGGTTTTACTTGCCAACACCTTTTGCTCTGAGGCCTATTTCCGGAATAATTACCTTTTGGCTCAACTACAGAAAAGTGAGTTATTTCATTAATTAATTGGTAATTGCTGTTAAGAAGTGACTGTCAATTTTATGTGCATAAAACAGACTTTGGCATTTTGTTATAAAACAAAAATCTGTAATCTGTGATATAATTTGGGAGCTTCCAATGGCAAAATATAAACAGAATGTAAAACTAATATCCCATTTTAAGAGAAAATAAGCTATACCAGATTTTGATTGGCTGATTTGTGACCGGTGTCCCTTGTGCATGAAGTATCCAATGTAACTGTGCTGTAAAATGAATGGACTTAGCATTTATTATGATGGGAGGGAGAAAATCATAGTGCAAGTTTCCTAGTTTCCATCACTTGTATCAGCTGGAAAACTATAGAAGGTGAAAAGTAGTAATGAACAGTAAAATTTAACATTTCATTGTGCATTACATAAAGGTGAAAACATTAGGAGAATTGCTTGAAACCCAAAGCATTCTTTTCATTCCTTCCCATTCTGCCCAGTTTAAAAATAAACACCTCCCTGGCAGAGGGATCTGAAGTGTCTTATTTCTTCTCAAAGCAATTGTATTTTATATCCTTGTTATTGAAACCAGTCATTGCTAAATTGCAGGATGACCTGCTGTGTTCTCAATCTCTGCAGCAGAATATCAATCCAAACAAATACTATGAAATGTCAGGTGAGTTGAGACATGCAGTAATGTAGGTGGGTCTTAGTTATAGTGCAGATCTGCTTTTGGATATTCTTCTTGAGTTAAATATAACACTGCGGTTTGCAGACAGTCTGGTTCAGCCTCAAACAGCTACCAGGAAGAAGGGTAAACATATTGATGAGAGATCAGTATTGAATTTCAGTTAAGTAGTCTGGTAATTTAGTGACAGCAGAGAGGGTGTCAAGTGTTGGTAGCAATGTAGAGCTCGGTGTCATCATGCGTATGTGGAAGTTATTGCATTTTCAGATGATATTGCCATGGGGATGTAGGTGAGAAATAGGAGGTCCAACAGTATCTTGTTGAGGACAGCAAACATAAATGTATGTGAAGGGAAGATAAACCACTTGTGGAGATTCTCAAGCTACAATTAATTAAGAATGGAACCAGTTGAGTACAATAGCATCCACCTGGATGATGAAGAGTTCTTTGATGATGATGATGCTATCAATTGTAACATAAACTGGAATCAGCTACACTTCTCCCTAATATATTTGCAATTTTTGTTTTTATCATTTAGATTCTTCTGAAAACCTTGATGACAGCATTAAGAAAATAGCACAGCAGGTGCTGGAAAAGAGAGCATACATTTGCTCACATCCACTTGATCGAACATTTTAGAACATATATGATCTTAAACTAACTATAGTTTTCTAAGTGTGTGCATATTAACATGGATATTAATGCCAGAGAGTAAAACTGAAGTAAAATTAGAATTCAACTGTAAAGTAATGAAATACTTTATAAAGTCTCTTTTGCAATATTTTTCAGCATTTATGTTCACTATTAACAAGACTGAAGCAATTCTACAAATTTACTTAAGTGGTAGAAATGATTGAAATTCATCACGGCTGTAATCAAATGCAGCAGATATCAGTTTTATCAATGAGATGTACAAAAATAGTCAAACAATCAGGTCAGCTGCATGTGCATTTCTGTTTTTGGAGTGGATTAGAGTACTTCTGTGGCAGGCTTGTTTGTTTGGAACAGGTGGGTCTTCTCCATTTCCTCGTTTAGTGGATTGAGTTTAGGATTGTAAATAAGCGTATGCTTATTGCAGTATACACTGAAGAAAGAAAATGTAAAAATGGGTTAATATGAACAATGCAAAATTAATAAAGTGTGGTATTACTATGAGCTAAAGAAATCACTAAAGTTTCCATCTCGAGATTAAGACTTTTAACTAAACTGGGAGATGAGAGAAATAGGAGACTGAACTGCAGTGACTGCATATGACGTCATAATGTAACACCTCTGGATCTGAGACCAGTGTTAAACTATCTTTCATTTATAAAGGATAAAGACTTTCTCCCTGGTTGTATAGCTCTTTAATTTTTTTCCACTGATTATAAACTGTTGGCCTCTACTGGTATCTGTTAAGACCAATTAGTGGTAGGGTCTGATCAATTAACTCGTACCTGATTGCTTCCTGAGAAGCTGCCATCACTGTTCATTAAATCCCAGCTGAAAAGAATTTGAAGTTCCTTCACTTGCTGGATAAATATCCTGGAACTTCTTTCTTAACAGCAATACTCTACCAGGTGGATTGCAGTGGTTCAAAATTGTCGCTCAACACCACTTTATGATAATTAGGATGAACAAAACTGACTTAGTGATCCCGTATCCCTTGAAATAATATTTATTTTAAAAACTGACTTTTTACTCTGTTTTCCCATGGGCCTATTCTATAGGCAAATATTCAATCTGAAATTTCTCCCATTAGCAGTGCAATGTTATAGCTAGTGTTTTCATAACTTAGCTTAACTTTGTCTCTAAGTACCATTAATGAGGTTGCATGAATTACATGTAGGTTTCAAAAGTTGAACCAGTTAAGTTTGTAATATTGTTATAATGTTTCAAATCAATTTTACCAAAGTATCAATATTATAGTCATGGTTCTCTTACTTGAAATCATTTCCTTTGAGATCAGCAAACTTCTTGTGCTCCATGTCATACCGAGGAATTATGTTCGCATTTATTTTCCAGCTACGGTTATCATTTAAACCAGGGGCAAACCCTTTGGTGACTTCTGACTGATGTGGGGATTTACATCTTATCAAATTTCCAACATCTGAGTAAGTTGTATGCTAGGCAAAAATAATACACAAATGAATTTAAACTTTAATCATAAAATTGAATGCAAGCTTTTAAAAAGTACTGCATGCATTAGCAGTTCTGAGCTCAGGGGAACATTGATAAACTGTGGAGACTTCCAGAAGTGTGTGTTCCACAATTCAATATCCAATAATTAATCCAGTATTTGTCTTGATTCAAACTTATGTTCATCACTATCCACATTGATAATATGGATCTCAACAGTTGCTTCTATTAACACCTTCAGGATAGAAAAAAAACTTTATGAAGCCAGGCCCAAAAGGAAAATACCAACAATTAGAATGTAGAAGTTGATTTTTGGAGGAGAATATGGGAGATATTCAAGAGTAATGCTTAGGCAGCTAAAGATACAATGGTGTGATGGAGAGCAAGGCAAGTAGAAATGGCCAGAATCAGGAATGGAAGAGTACAATAGTTAGTTGTGGAACAGGATTAAGCCACAGATTGGGGAAGGACAAGATTACAAGAATTTAATCATGAGTACTGTCACTTTAAATTTGTTTCTTGGGAACCAGTTGAATGAGTGATAGTTATTCCAAGACTAGGATGTAGGCAGGATAGTTTTGGATAAGCTGATGATTATGAAAAGTGGAGGCTTGGAGGCCAGTTAGGACTTCATTGAAGTTATGGAATCTTGAGATGAGAAAACAAAATGGATGAGTGTTTCAGCTGTAGGTGGCTGAAGCAGTGTGGAAATCAGCAACATTTATTGCAGCAAAATTTAGATGGCACTGGTACTGGAGAGCATGTAGGGTCAGAAGTTTGGCTTGGAGTAAAGTGGAAGGATACAGTCTGATAAAGTAGGTATTTTCTAATCAACCTATTTATATATGGAACAGGTGGGACTTAAACCTCCAGGGTCAGCGATATTTCCAAATATTTCTGACAGCAACAAGAGATGAACATGTAGTTTATACAGAATTAGGAATCAGATTATTTTGAGGAGGTTGATGATGATTCTGAAGGAAGAAGTATTCATCTACAATCTAACGTAAGCTAGCATTGATAGCCAGGGAGGATTGTGGGTCAGTAGTTTATCAGAAATGGAAGCTAGGAGGCAAGTGATCACTCCAGTGAATCAGATGAGCTTGGAGAAAACATGAAGGGAAACAACACACTATAAATAGACAGGTATATAATTAGTGCATGGAGGAGTTTGGGGAAGGTTTAGCTTTGTGGGGAAAGATGAAGGATATTACTAATCCAGTGACAAAAACATATGTATTGTGATAATGTGAAAAAGTGGCCACGAGACTGGCCTGAATTTTGTAGTTGCCTTTCAGATTTTTATACAAAGTAAAAACATTTTTTAAAATGCTCACTGCTGTCTTGTATTGTTAAAAAGTGGATATTAATAACCTTCAAATAGTTAAATATCAGTAGGTGTAGTGCTAGCAATTTCTGACACAGCAGGTACTATGCGAAATGGCTGCATAAGCCACTCCAAGAGCAGTTAGGGATGGCTAAGAAAAAGCTTTGTCAGCAATGTCCACATTCCATGAATGAAGAACGTAAAGAAACTCGTCTCATTGAATTGGCTTAATCACTATATATTAGATAATTGTAAAAGCACTGGAAAAATGATTTGCAAAAAGATTAGTTTTGACATTTTCCATTTGCATGTTTTCGTTCCTTAATGACACATTTCACTGATATGTGAAAATGATAATGAAACAAGGTCGATATTCCTTAGACTAATGCAGAGAAAAGGATATATCATAACCCTATGTTTTTCAAGACAGCAAAACATTAAAGAAATTAATCCTGTGGAAGATAGCAATTTAAACAATGAGCTGCTGTGGTTAGACATTTTTAATGTGTTTGGGTTAGGTCTGTGATAACCTCTTGGGGGGAAAAAAAGCTATTTTACAAAGATTAAAAATGAGGTGTGAAAACAGAACAGTATGTGATGATTTGAGTCAACTAACTGGGAAAATCAAATTGAATGAATCTGATTTAGCAATTATAATGTGTTATTACTGTCTTGTGAAACCTCTTTAAAAAGCTATAAGAAGCAATATCTAGCTTAGTTTGATAGTGGTGAATGACCCAAATAACAACAGCAAATAGATATTGTTGAACCCATCAGGGTCAGCAATCCTAAAATGGTCAAGTTCTAAATAGTCTCATTTAAAATACAGTCGATTAGAAATATATAATTATATATAGAGATCTGTTTGACACCAATGAATGTGCATAATATTAAGATGTGAACATTAAAAGAAAAATTGTACTTTGAATCACCATTGTAAAATACCACTTTTGTAATATACTTGTTTGTTAAAATTGTATGTTTAATTGGTATTTTTATCTACATGCTGATTACTGCACACTATATTAATATAACATTTACATAAAAGTTGCACTTCATTTTATGCTTGTCTTTTCCTGTGACCTGATATGCTCCTTCATTAAAATAAATATTTAATTGATATTTGTAACTAGCTTTAAAGACATTTCTGCTAACGCAAATGCTTCTTGGAGTCAGCAAGCACACCAATTACATATTCACATATAAGGGAACCAAACAGCTTATGTACTGTGAAGGGTGGGAGAAGGTTGATCAATACTTGGTGTAGAATCAGAGCTGAGCCTGTAAGGGAAACGTAGATAGGACCAATAGTACAAACCAAGAATTCAATTCACAATAGACTGTCAAGTTATTCAGAAACTTGAAAATGTTACATGATGAATATCTGGATGAGCAATGATGTGGGGGTCATTACATGAGCAAATATACTAATACATTCATTCAATTGCAATAAAGGCAGAATTGAAAATCCACCGAAGGTGATGTGGCGTGGGAAAGAGAGGCATAAAATAGTTGATATAGTAACTGATATTTGTCCTAGATATTTCTAGGAAACACGTGAGTGATATGTAATCGAAACAGCATTAACCCAACCACAATTAATGGCTTCAATTTAAGTTTAGTTAAAAGGGATCAATATTAATTGAAGGTCCTAAGATCGATACTATCACTATTCATCCCAGAGTACTAATACACCAATAGATTTGAGAGCTTGGTGATCATAATGAAGTTGAATGAATGCTGACAAGTTCCAAGTACCCTGGAAACTGACTGTGAAGTATATTTTCAAAAAAGATGACAAAACTGTTACTGTTACTAAAAGTTATGGAGTTGAATTGACTATCTTAATTTTTTTTGGTGAAATAAAATCTCCAATAGACTAAATTGATCAAATTTCAGGCTACCAAGATTGCCAATAAAGACTTGTCAAAGTAAATCTTGAAAGGTTACCAGCCTATGGTCATTGCAGGATTCTGAATTAAAATCTACAAATGAATGAAGAATTTTCTTGAAGAACAGAAAGATACAATTGTTAAATGAGTTACAGTGCTGTTTAATGCAGTTTTGTAGGAATTGCTTCTTGGACACATTTCCAATTTATACAAACATTGGAATCAGAAACTCTGTCATCGAGGTGAGGCAATTCTGAAGAAGCAACTTGCAAACTGAAAAATGAGTGGAACAACAGTCAACGTGGACAAATGTAAAGAAGTCCAGTTAAGGAATGCAAAAATCAGCAAAGTAACTTGAATATTGAAATACATAGTCAAAACTCTAAGGTAGAGGAAATCATGATCAAATAGTATCATATCAGACACAACTTGAGTACTCAGTGTTCCAGACTACATTTAATCCATGAATACAGTCTCCAGGCCAACTCCCTGTATAAAGGAATGAAGGAATGGACTGTTTTGACACAAAATATGGACCCATATATTGAAAACTAGACAGGTTCAAACCAATATAAGAAAATTTTAGGCTTGATGTTTGTGTAACGAGCAGATTTGCATAGATTCCCAAATACAAGAGGAAGAAAAAATGTGGGAATTAAAAACAAACAACTGGACACCTTGATGAGTGAATGGAGCACTATACAGAATTTTTAGATCGATAAACCAAGGTCGACTAAACATTAAGCTGGTTCACAATATAAATGATACCATAATCTAAGAATATCTATACAAACGTGTAAAAGAACATGTTGAAGGAAAACACAGCAGTCAATTATAAACAGCAAGGTTTGCAAACTACCATTAAATGGGTGATCAAATAATTTATTGAATTGACAATGGCACCAAAAGATCTTAACTCTTCAAATGTGCCATGAAATCTTTTACATTCGCATGAAAGCATACAACCTTCTGACTCAAAGTCAAGAGTGTTTGTTACCACTAAACCAAGGCATGTTATCTTCATAGGTGTTATTGTTTCCTTGCCACCAGAAACAACTGAGCATTTTTTTTTATTTTCTGTCTACTGTCCTTGTATTAAAATGCCTTGAGTTTGAGAAAAAGCAAGCACTTTCTCCCCTTACTGAAAATAATTTTTGTTAGCAAACAAATTTTCTTTTCTTAATTAAATTGACTTTAAGTAGGGACAACTAATGAGTGTTTGGCACAGATCATTCTATTCTTTTTAGGGAAACAATGGATAAATATTTAAAGTGTGGAGTGAGTTGGTTACGGAGTGAGATCAGGTTAAGTTTTGCATTAACTTAGCACTGTAAAAAGCCCAGCTGCCTCCTGTGTTGTAACCTTGTATAATTTTGTGTAATTGTTTTCCTTGGTTAATTTCAGAGCTGGAGTTTGTGAACATGCATTACTAAGCCACACATTTTTAGTCGTTTTCATTTCACAGATTAACTCAAAGTAAGCGTAGATAATTAATGATTTAGTGATGTATGTGTTCATTTTGTGGAAACAACTTGAACAAAATATTGGTGTTATGCTTGAAAACATTACATCATTACACCATGTTTAGTAACAGATGATGGCAGGGGGCAGGGTGGAATGTCAGCTGACCTTTTTCCTTAACTGGTTAGGTTGGTATCATACTAATTCTAGGAGATGTAAATTTCAGGATTTTGGTGCACATGGACTATGTAATGGCTTGAAAGTAAATCTGAACTTTATATAAAAAAAAGTGTGCTAGAAACAGATTAAGACAACAAGCAAGTTCATATATAGAGATCTGTTTGACACCAATGAATGTGCATAATATTAAGATGATAAGTGAATATTAAAAGAAAAATTATACTTTGAATCACCATTGTAAAATACCATTTTTATAATATACTTGTTTGTTAAAATTGTATGTTTAATTGGTTATTTTTTATCTACATACAGAACTTTCAATAAATGATGCTTTATATAATCTATATATACAGTACCTGTAAAATGGAAATGGGTTGCTTGAGGGAGGCTATCACAGACTTATCCACTTGTGTGCTTGCTTCTGGCCGAGTCGTCTGTAATTCAGTTTTTTTAAGATTGCAGCATTTGTTCTTGTTTACTAAAAGTTTCGAACGCCAGTCCTCATAATCTTTGTAAATAGTTTCAAGTTGTTCAGCTTTTAAAGTATCACCTGGAGTACAGAATTTTGTGCAGTGTGGGTTTTTTTGTTGTTGTAAATATAACTATCATTCTATATGAAAATACCAGACTTAAATGAAACATGCTTTCTCGTACAATTGTGATGTCTTTCGCAACTAGACCTTTGCTACCACTGAAGTACATATGATTTCTTGGGAAAAGCATAAAGCCAAAGGAACTAAAAACAAAACTGAAAGAACTGCAGATGCTGTAAGTCAGGAACAAAAATAGAAGTTGCTGGAAAAACTCAGCAGGTCTGGCAGCATCTGTAAAGAAAAATCAGTTAATGTTTCAGGTCTGGTGAACACCAGGAGTAACAGTGAAATTAATGTCTGTGTACTAGAAGAAAGATTGGAGCAGAAATCCTGTTCCAAAAACAGAAGTTGCAGGAAAAGCTCAGCAGGTCTGACAGCATCTCTGAAGAAAAAAAATCAGAGTTAACCTTTCAGGTCGGGGACTCTTCCTCAGAAATGTTAACTCTGATTTCTCTTCACAAATGCTGCCAGGCCTGCTGAGCTTTTCCTGCAACTTTTGTTTTTAAGCCATAAGAACTAATGTTTTACATACTTCATAGGATGGAAGATATTTATAATTGAAGAAATAGCACAAAAATGCAAAAATTTTTGTAGAGCGGACAATTCACTGAACTGCATAATTGATGGTTAAATGCTCAACTTAGATACTGCTCCACAAATTATTCTTCACAGCACCATGTGATTTGGCATGAGAACATTCCATAAGGAAAATGGATTTAGGACTTGCTGTATTTAAACTTATAGGTACTGTTAAATGCCTTGACATTCTTCTGTTATAATTTTCCTTGAACAGAAATTTAGTACGGATTTACATTGACAGGGCTATGATTTCACTAAAAGAAACTATGTAATATAAAATCCCACTTTTCAGGCATCAATTTTAAATTTACTAAGTTCCAGTAAATGTGAGTCAGTCATTTTTAGTTAAATATCTGTGATTTTAATTGTAAATTGCAAATGTTCATGGATGTGATTTATATAAAACATGACTTTTTTTTTCTCCTTCTCCAACCATAGCTTTTACTACTATAACATGAATATTTCACAGTCAAATTTGGCCGATAACTCATGGGAAGAAGTCTGATGAGCAAAATAAAACTTTTTGCTACTGCTGTGCAAGTTCAGAACAAAGAGACGTAGTCTTATAATCAGAGCCTAGCTATTCAGGAGAAATGTTAGGAAAGCATATAAACCGTGCTTACTTATAGATTTCTCTCCTAAGAAAATAACAGATGCTAGGTCAATTAATAATTTTAAATGTGAAATTGATCAATTTTTGCTAGACAAGATTATTTAAAGGATGTGGAATTATGGCAGATTAATGCAGTCAGGATACAGATTGACCAGAGTCTCATTGAACAACTGAAGAGGCTCAAGCACCTGAACGGCCCACTAATCATAGTATAGTTAATGTAAAATGCAAGAGTGGCAGCATTTCTTCTTTAGGTTGCTGACCCACAAACCAAGTTTACACTTAGGTGGCAAAAATTAAAAAAAGTCTACTCCATTAACTCTGAAATAGCATAGTCAAACAGTTATATACAAACATGATGCATTTGTCTCAGATTCCTGTCTCCTAATTTAGCAGAAACATTACTATATTCAAAATAAACCAATTGGTATCTGTATAAAATTACTGGAGAGAAAAGTTTCAGTTGAGGCACTAAGCATTTGTACACCGGAAACCTACAAACTGATGTTTAAGTTTTTTTAATTTAAGAAAAAAATCTTATTTCCAGTTATGGAACTTCAGCACTGCTATGCTTTTCTGCATTTCTTTTGTTTCTCTTGAGAGTTAAGTATTCACAATCTCACTATGCAAATTTTTTAGTGAGATTCAGTATTTTTATTTTATTACAATTACTAAAGCATATACCTGCCAAATGAATACTGACTGGGGTTGGTTCATAAGTTAACTTCTTGTATAATTCAAAATCTTTATGTCTTTCACTCCATTTCCATCTGCCACGTGGAAGGATTGGTTTAAATAGGTTTCCATACAGAATATGTTCCTTCCAAGCCTAGAAGAAAGAAGTGTTCATACTGTCAACAGGAATAACAAAATGATACTGTGAATTATGCATGTGGTGTATTGGATATGCATGTAGAAGGGAGATCCAAGGATAGACTGAATACATTTTCAGGTCTAATTGGAATAAATCAAATGAGCCATGATCTGGTCCAGGCTTTGTGCAATTCTGCTGGCTCAGACATAGAAGGCTAGGGGTGGGTGGTGGGGTTCATATGGTCTACAATGCCTGTGCTAGCACCTCACCACAGTTATCTTTAATGTATTTTTTCTTCAAGTGTTTATCTAACTTCCTTCCACGATGTCATAATTGGCAAAGCTATAACATCACTTATTCCATACTTTCAAAAATCCTGGTTGGGAAAAAAAATGACATTATTTATTTCCTTTATACTTCAAGCACTAATCCTGGTTTTAATTTATCAACAGTTCACCGATCATTGAAAATAAATTCTCAACATTTCCTGTCAATGACTGAATGCTATTTGTAAAGCTTTCTTAAATATCTTCTTCTAATTAATATAGAGTCATAGAGCTGTACAGCATGGAAATAGACCCTTCGGTCCAACTTGCCCATGGCGACCAGATATCCTTAATTTATCTAGTCCCATTTGCCAGCAGTGGCTCTGTATCTCTCTAAACTCTTCCTATTCATACAGCCATCTAGATGTTTTTCTAAATGTATTTGTACCACCACCACTTCCTCTGGCAGCTCATTCCATACACACACCCCACTCTGTGTGAAAAAGTTGACCATTAGGTCCCTTTTAAGTCTTTCCCCTCTCACCTTAAATCTATGCCCTCTAGTTTTGGACTCTCCTTATGTCTTTTTATGATTATGTCTTCCTATCCAATAATGTTTCTGTTTTGAATTTCCCTATGTATAGGGTGTAGGCATAGAATACAAAAGCAAGGAAGTTGTGTTAAAGCTGTATAAAATACTGGTTTGGCCTCAACTGGAGTATTGCATTGAAATCTGCAAGCTACACCTTAGCAAAGATGTGAAAGCATTAGAGAAGGTGCACAAAAGCTATACGAGAGTTCAATTACATAAAAAGATTGTGTAAGTTGGAGAAGATTGAGAAGAGATTGACAGATGCTCAAAATCATGAGTCTGGACAAAATAGATGAGGTGAATTTATTCCCATTGAAAGGATTGAGAAGGCATACATTTAAAGTAATTAACCAAAGAAACAATGGCAACAAGATGATTTTTTTCATGCAACAATTGGTTACAGTCAGGAATGCAGTGCCTGATAGTGTATTTATTTGGGGCTTTCAAAGAGGAATTGGATCCTTTATTGAAAAGGAAAACACTGCAGGGGAATAGTATTGTTGCCAATTGTTTTAGGAGGGAAGACACAGACATGACAAGATTTAAGACAGCGTTTTAAACAGTGAGAAGTTTGTATCTGCATTTCTTTTCCATCCAATATCGAACCCTCATAATTTCATGTACTTCACAATTTGCAGCATTTTAATCTTTCCTTCCATGCACTTATAAAATCTGTTTATATACAATAGGAGAGTTCTAACACAATCAACTGAAATATTTATGTATCATCTTGTTTTTAATGGTTTAAATTACATGTTCCATATAAGTGAAATGACAGTCATGTATCAAACCTTGTTTAGGTCAAATAAATTACTTTAAGTTCCAAAAAATGGGAATGTAAGGTAATGGAAAATCATGGGAATATTTGTTGTTCATATATTGCTTCACTCACATTTCAAAAGTGGCTTGATTAGTTATTGAGTGATTTTTGTTCTTGTTTGTCCTACAAAATAGTAATACAGCATAGAAACAGGCCCTTCAGCCCACCATGTCTATGCTGACCAACAAACACCAAGCCATACTAATCCCATTCACATGTACCAGGTCCGTAACCTATTATGCCTAATAGGCATTTTAAGTGCTCATTCAGATGCTCCTTAAGCATTGCAAGAGTACCTGCCTCTATTACCCTCTGTCAGTGTGTTCTATATTTCTACCACAATCTGAGTGAAAACATTTTTCCTCTGAT